CCTCCCGTCAGATCAATTCCCCCCCGAACTCTCATTTCAGATTAATCACCCCCTGCCTACAAAATATATTAATCACCCCATAAAATGTGCAAACCTGGATCAATTAGCCCCCAAGGTGGTTAGCCCCCAAGGTGGTTCTAGAGTCAATTTTAGTGGTGCTGACTGGACTAGCTAACTTGGCAAAAACGGTACTGAGACAATAATTTTCATAAATTCCCCATCTACAGATCGACACTAATGGCCACGGATTAGGCGTCGTGCTAGCTCTCAGCTACACAGTGGGCATTAGTAGTCTCAGGATCGTGTCCCCGCGATCCGTCGGGACTAGCTAGGGATGCAGGTGTTGACGCCTCCTACTGCGAAGTTGTGGACCCAGATCCAGAGACTGATGCCGGGCTAGGAGTGCAAGGAAGGCCTTCTACACCTCCTGTTGTGGTTGGCGCGTCATCAAGTGGTGGGGTGGCGATGTCTTGGGGCAGGGATGCCGGGGTGGTGGCCCCGGATGGTGGTCCCCATGATTGGCTCTCCGGCAGGCATCATGGTGGCGGTGGTGGCTTTACTCTTTTGGTTGTGTGGGCGGCGAGGGGTGTAGCGGCTGGTGGCTCGGGCGCGTTTCATGTCATTGGCATAGGCCTTGTCCAGATCCGGATATAGGAGTTGGAACTCGCTACGAATGGCTTGGCATCATCGTGATGGCATAGATGAGCTGTCAAGCGAAAGCTTCGTGCTTTGGTGCCGACGATGACAATACCCAGCGGGCGCCACTATCTTCTTGAAGACGTTGTTTTGGTTCTCCTTTCTGTGTCAAGGCTGGCGAAGACCCATGTCCGCTACGGACTCGACAGCGGCTACGCTCGGCGCCGTTCTCTCTCTTGGGATTTTTTTCATGGAGACTAGGTGTGCTAGGCGTGGTGTGGCGTTGTACTCTGACTTTCCCGTGTTCTCTTCCCCATGTTTTTTTCCGGTATAATCATGCACCCGATGTCCCAAGATCTACTGTGTTAGAGAGTTATCTTTTCACTTTATATCATTCGACCATGTACTTTGGTGGCGCGAGCCTGTTTCGAGATCAAAAGGACCCAGGTAGAGAATCCGCGTCGATCCACTAGCCACTAGCGGCTACCACCAACCCAGCCCGGGCCGCGTATGACCGAGCACGAGTAGTACTGGCTTGTTCAAACGCACATGACCAGTCAACACCATATCTTTAATAATAAAAAGGGAGACCAACCCCAGACTAACTCTTGTTGGTTTTTTTATAGAAGAAACTTCACAAATACTGTACGTCAAAGTCAGGGTTTGAACTCGGATGAGCTGACACCTACCCCGACTACCCAGCTAACAGGTCAACGCCCCATCCTTCAAATCTTCAATATACAAATGCCACTCTACGGCCTCCTATGTGTATATATGGGCCATGTCCGACACGGCAGCACAAACACAACAACAACCCCATCCCGGGCAAAGCATCAGCCTTCCATCTCCTGTGCTTTGCATTCCTCCGTCCAACTCCAACCGCAACCAATGGCTGCCATGAAGATCACTCTCCTTGCCGTGGCGGCGGCGGTAGTCTTGCTAGGCACCGCGTCGGTGGCGACCTACAGGGTCGGCGAGCCGAGCAGCGTGTGGGGCATCAACACCGACTACGTCAAGTATGTGGCTGACGGTGTCCTGAACTAGGAGGTACTCACCACGTTGTCTTCCAACCAGCTGGATCGGGCCGAGGACCCCCATGGCGGTTCACTTATGGGCCATTTCGGACAGACTATGCCGCATACAAGAAGGATTTCACAAGACTTGGTGCCCAAGACAAGGACTCCTCTAAACCCTAGGCCTCTGGTGTGTTATATAAACCGAGGTCAGGCTAATCAATAGACAATCTAATATTTGTTAGAACAATCTCGTGGTAGATACATGTACTATGTACTACACCCCATATGAATACAATCAAAAGCAGGACGTAGGGTTTTATCTCCATCAAGAGGGTCCGAACCTGGGTAAAATCATGTGTTCATGTTACCATCGCTCCAACACGCCTAATTTAGGACTCCTACTACGAGATATGCCGGATATATAACTGACATTGGTGCTTTTATTGAGAGCCTGCTGGCAGTCGCCACGGTGTGATGGGAATTCTGATCATTTCCGACGCCGAGCTTTATCGTCGATGTCGGCATCTTTGTCGCCGGCTCGACTGGTCACCTCAGCTGGACCGAGGACCACGCTCCACGTCAGATCATCAAGATCAGGCAGATACTTTCATCATCATCGGCTCAAATCTCAACCGAGACCATGAAAAACTTGTCCATGGAGCCTCGGGGCTCATCGTCAACATTGCCCTCGTGCGATCGCACAGTTTTTTCTGTACAACAGACTTGTTTTCGCTGTCACCGTCTTCTCAGAAGTCGATTTGATGAACCCTTTGGTGGAGTTGTGCAGAATTGAGTATACAACAACCCTGTAAAATTTCGTCGCCTTTCGATGGAGGAATCTCCGGCGATCTATGATATACCAGAGGCCTGTCGAGTCTGGACGGGAATCTGGACGAGTTTAGGCCGTGGTCTCCAGGGCCGAGCTCGGAGGTTAATTGGAAGATCCAACCGTTCATATTCTGCGGAATTTCCATATCTACCACCTCTCAAAATTTCAGCTCGATCCTACCGTTCAAACTCCAGCAACCTTCCGATTAGTGCGTCCTTTTCGGATCTGTTTTCTGCGCGAATACGAATCTGACTTGAGTTCATCTTTTTTCATCAACGGGATATTGGATAAACTTTTTGGAAGAATCTCTTTCTAGGGTATTGTGTTTTGTTTCCGAACACATGCTCATAAATTTTACTCATTTTCAGAGGTAATCTTCACCGTCGTGCCGGTGTCAAACCAGCCCTTGTTCCACGTATGCCGACCTGCGCTAGACAAATCGTCGATTCATCGAGCCGAGCCTAACCTTATCGGATCATCAGCTCGGTAAGCCGAACAAGAGTTCGGCATCGCGAAGGCTAAATCATCACCAACACCATCGCCCCACGGATTGCATGGGTCAGGCACGCCGACATCGCCGTTCGGTCACTTCATCAATCCGGCATTGACCGCGTCACAAGTTATGACTAGCATCAGCATGGCAGAGCCGTAGCTTCTTCAAACTGATGTCTGTCACGCCGAACCGCTTCAACACCTTGGCTGCAACGTCACCTTACCAACCTGCTCCGTCACCTCGGCTGGACCGGGAGCTTCGCTGTGGCACCCCGGCTTAGAGCGACCGGTTTACCATACATTGCCAGCCCAGAGACCATGTCTTCTGGCAACGCACAACATCTTGGTACAGCATAACAACCGCTTTATTGATGCTAGCGGAAGAGAATTACATTATAACAGCTGTCGAGGCCAAGCGGCACACTTGGTGCGGCTGAACAATATGTACATTATTTAGTGAACATAAATGGGCCTCGATACGAACAACTACGTGGCAGCGGAATAACGTCGTGGCGGAAGCTCCATATCACAGGGACACAGATGTGGACACGATCTAGACTCGGACAGCGCTCTCCTCCAATGACACTTTCCTGAAATCTGGCATGACACGCCAGGTCAGTACATTGAATGTACTTGCAAGCTCACAACAGGCATCATCATAATGACAAACAATATCATGATATTTAATCAATTATTAAAAGTGCAACACTATATGCCAACATGTTGTGCTCATGCTCGAACGTCCCTCGGGACAGCTTACCAACCGTGATCATCTCTGGATCACAAACACACCACCAAAGTGGTCAGATCACAAACACACCACCAAAGTGGTCAGAACACACCACCAAAGTGGTCTTTCTCAAGAACAACTTGTGATCCTTACGACGATCACAACCACGACCATCATTTGGTCCCAAATGCCTCGATGGCCTTTCTGCCATCCATCAACAATGCAAAGTTCATCACTTAATGTGCAATTTTTATTAAACGTTGACTCATGGTGGGACCTACTACGAGGTGTCTGTAATCGTGGACTCGGCTATCGATAGATTACACACTCTGCAGAGGTAGCACACTGTACCCACACCACGGAACCCATGGCCTCGCACTCCCATTCGGGTGGACCAACGACATCCCGACAAAACCCCTCCATTGCCACAACACTCTCCCGGCCACTCGGACCCAAATTCCCCAACGGGCTGGTCCTGGGTGGCCCCATGTCTACCAAAGACACCCCGACCACCGTCGTGGTCAAAACACTCCCACTCGGGGACATCCCCACTCGGGGACTCGGTACCATAATCTCATCAACGAGCACACAAGATTATGTCTGCTCATCGGGCCAGGGCAAGCACGACATAACCTTCCCTAGATGGAGGCATCGACCAGAGGCCGTGTCAATGGACCGAATCAAGGCCTTCCCACAAAGGCAAATGTGGTTGCACTGGAAAGAAACTCGATTCAGCGGCACCATGACCCAGTCAACGATATATTCAAGTTGAGTTATATTCAGGTTTAAAAAAAATGACCGGTGTCATAGCATGCCATGAAATGCAAAATAACACATGCATCATATAATGATAAAAATGACCGATGTCATCCTTATA